GACCAGCAGGATGTTGTTGTTCAACCTTATCTTGCTGGCACACTAAGCAAGTTCTCACATATGCTTCGACATCGTCTTGCATATGTGGCCAATAGAAATGATTTTGTACGAGAGCAAGTGTTCTGGTCATACCTGGATGTCCAGCCCACATGGAATCATGGCACTCTTTTAGGACATCCCTTCGAAGGTTTCCCTATTTCGGCACATAAACTTGGTTCCCAATGGTGTAGAGTATTCCATCATTCACCCAAAATCTTCAAGTCTTGCCTTTGGTAGCAAGCTTTACTAAGTTGCTTGTGGATGAGTCCTGAGACATACCTTCCTTGATTCGTTCAAGGAAGTCATTCTGGGGCATACTTGTTGAGAGAGTGGCTAACTCGGCTTTCCTGCTTAAGGATCCGCCACCACGTTTACTTTGCCTAGTTTGTACTCCAACCGATAATCAAACTCAGCAAGAAAATCTTGCCAGCGAGCTTGCTTCAGGCTGAGCTTCTTTTGTGTTTGGAAGTAGCTCGTAGCAACATTGTCTGTCATAATAGTGAACTTACTCCTAAGTAAGTAATGACGCCAGGTTCGTAGACAATGGATGATGGCAGACATCTCTTTCTCTTGCACCGTGTAGCGCCTCTCCGTGTCATTGAGCTTGCGGCTCTCATACGCAATAGGGTGTCTTTCTTGCATTAACACGCCTCCTATTGCAAAGTCTGAGGCATCGGTGTGTACCTCAAATGGCTTGGAGTAGTCGTGCAAGGACATAACAGGCTCTTGCGCGACCATCTGCTTCAGCTTGTCGAAGGCATCCTGGCAATCTTGTGACCAATGCCAAGATTTATTCTTCTTGAGCAAACTTGTTAATGGAGCAGTGATAGTTGAATACCCCTTGATGAACCGCCGATAGTAGTTCACCAGACTAAGGAATGATCTTAACTCTGGGACCTTGGTAGGAGGCTGTCATTCTTGGATGGCTCGAACCTTAGTTGGGTCCATTATAAGCTTTCCATCCTTGATCTTGTGCCCCAAGAAGTCCACCTCTTGTTTGGCAAAAGAGCATTTTTCCAACTTAATATAGAGTTCGTGATCAGAGAGTACCTGGAAGACTTTCTTCAAGTGTTGAGCATGCTCTTCAAGAGTGTTGCTATATACCATGATGTCATCCAAGTATACCACCACGAACTGGTCCAAGTAAGGGTGGAACAACTTGTTCATGAGCGTGCAGAATGTTGTCGGGGCATTCGTTAGTCCAAAGGGCATGACAAGAAACTTGAATGCTCCATATCTCGTCACACAGGTTGTCTTCGGCTCGTCACCTGCGGCGATGCGTACTTGATAGTACCCGGATCGAAGATCAAGCTTAGAGAAGTACCTGGCTTTTCCAAGCTGATTAAACAAGTCAGCAATCAAAGGTATTGGGTACTTATTCTTGATAGTAATATTGTTCAAGGCCCTGTAGTCGATTCACATTCACAATGATCCATCCTTCTTCTTCTGGAAAAGGACTGGAGCACCATAGGGAGCCTTAGATGGTTGAATATATCCTGAATCAAGGAGATCTTGCAATTATCTCCTTAACTCTGCAAGTTCTAGAGGTGACATGCGATAAGGTGCCAAGGCAGGTGGTTTGGCACCAGGCTCCAACTCGATCTGATGGTCTACCTCTCTTCTAGGAGGTAGTTTCTTAGGCAACTCATCGGGCATGACATGCTTATACTCCTGTAACACCTCTTGGATGCAAGGTGGCAAGGTTTCCCGTGGCTTGGTTGGGCCATCCTCTTCCTCAGCCAATGAACGTACAGTGGCAATATACCCTTCTGAGTTCTTGAGACCCCTCTTGAATTGCAAGGCAGAAATCATAGGGTTAGATTTCTCTAAGCATTTCAAGGGGATTATCCGGATCATGTTAGAGTCAATGACCACCATAGACTTGGCTTCAGGAATAGGGAAGGCATATGCTTTGCAAAAGAAAGCAAGTCCCAATACAACTTTGAAATCATCCATAGGGACAACAGTAAAGTCTAACGTACCTTGCTAGTCCCCGATCTTCACCTTCACATCCTTGGCAATCCTAAGGACTTGTTTGGCTGGGGAGTTCACTGCCTTGATGGTGCCTTCTCCCTTATTGAGTTGGATACCTAATCTTTTAGCTTCTTCAGCCTCCATGAAGTTATGGGATGCTCCTGTGTCGAGCATGGCAGAGGCGGACTTGCCCTGAATGGCAAGATCAGCATAAAGTAGACCCTTCTCTTCCTTCTTAGATGGGGAAAAGAGTCCAGTCAAGGAATTCAAATGTTGGAGGGAACCAAGGTCAATTTGTTGCTCCTTGTCCCGGTTATCCTTCATCTCAGCAACCAAGGCATTCATAGCCTTACGGTTGGGGCAGTCACGAGTCCAGTGTGGACCATCGCACATGAAGCATGGCCTCGGTGGCTTTGAGGCATCACGCTTGATTGAGAGTGGTTTATCCTGTCTAGAACTCCCACCAAAGAATCTACCACCATCCTTACGATCAGAATTCTTCTTTTGTCTTACTTTGTCTCCTCCACTGTTACTAGGATTAGGCTTTTTGGACTTGGTGGAGTAGTCGATTATGCACTCAGCAGCAGCAATTGCCTCATCTAGAGTTTGCACTTTACGTCTATCGAGTTCTACTCTCGCCCAGTCTTTAAGTCCGTCCATGAAGTAGAAAAGAGCCTCCTTGTTGGACAGGTCCTCGATCTCGAGCATGATGGTAGTAAACTCTTTGATATAGTCAGGAATACTACTAGTTTGTCTCAATCTACGAAGCTTACCTCGAGCCTCTATCTCAGCATTGTGGGAAACAAAGTGCTTGCGGAGTTCTGACTTGAACAACTCCCATGTGTTGAGAGTGCAAAGGCCCTTTTCTCGTTCGGCATGCTTTCTACGCCACCATAGTTGGGCTGCATCTCGGAGAAAAGTTGAAGCATTGTTGATTCTGATCGAGTCGTTAGAGACTCCCATGGCCTCGGAGTACTGTTCTAGGCCAAAGAGAAAGTTCTCTACAATTGTAGCACTACAAGCCCCATTGTACATGGCCGGCTTGGGCACTTTCAGACCCTAAGAAGTGGCGTTTGAAGTACTACCACTAATAGGGCTACTCACACAGTGATGAGATTCCCATTCATGACGAATCTCATCCATTTGAGTGCGTAGACCTCGCACCTCATCTCTTACATATTTGCGAAGATCGGCGAGATCACGTCTGAGGGAACGAATGTCTTCCCCTAAATCATCGTTAAGGTCTGCAATCATCAACTTGGCAGCCCGTGTTATCTCAACATTCTCTTGGAAGAGATTGTTGAGTTGATCGTTGAGTCCCCCTATAGTAGTTCTCACTTCCTCCATGTTAGATTCCAAGCTAACAACACGAGGTTCAAGGAACTCACCTGCGGGTGCCCTGCTCCGGCCTCGCTCTCGCTTGGACCTGGGGTGAGCTTGCTCCTATTGTACATGAGCTTGCTCCTGTGCTTCCGTGCCAACGACGTTTCCTTCCTCAGTTGCCATCGTACAATACCTTTCTTCAAGCACAACGGTAGAACCAGGCTTTGATACCAACTGTCACGGGGCTAGTCTTTTGACCCGTGCGGCACTTAGACAACCTTCACTGGAAGTTGCTAAGTAAGCCTAACTCGTATGAAAGGAGGATGCTTGGCTAAGTAGAGGAAAGGGAAAGCTTGAAGGCAAAGAAGAGTAGAGAGAGTTTGGAGAATGTGAGAGTTCTATTGCTTCGAGAACTCAAGGATGATTTACAAATGAGGAGGAGTAAGGTATTTATAGGCCTCCCCTTGGATCTAGAATGTTCCCACCTCCTTAATGGACGGTGGAGATTAAATCTATCCTACGGTTACAATTGATTCTCTAGAATTCTCTTAACAAATATCTAGATATTTAAATGGAAGAATCTAGAGATAATATTAAAATATTATGGCTAGAGTTGTGTAGGCTTCTCTAGAATGTTCTTGCACTCTCTAGTTCTCTTAAGGTTAGCTGGGAGCCTTCTCGAGGGTTCTGGAGCATTCTGAACCTTGTGAAAAATGACGGAACGTGACAAACCGCTCCTGCTCTGCCTGCCTCGTGCAGGGGCTAGCAAAAATCTCAACAATCTTTGCATTGGCCTTCGAATCTTCTTGCCTCCTCGATCTCATTATGGCCTACAGGAATCTTTTTTTCGAGGAGCGAGAAACCTCGTCGAAGATTGGGTACTGGAGCTAGAAAGGGATATCTGCTTCCTTTTAGGAATAAAGCCACATCTATCAATATAGAATGCACAGTGCTACTCGAAAAAATTATATGAGAAAATTTGATCTTTAGTCCTTGTTTAATTATGTTGATACTAACACATGTAGACGGTTCTAGAAGCAAAAGTAATTCATTGCATTAAAAGAAAGTTCATAAAATGTTAGTATGGGAATAGTTGAAAACCAAAAATATCTTTTTAACTCATTAATATAAATATATTGTTAGAAAAACTGCAGCACCACACGGTGTCCTATTTGTCTCTCTTTCACATGGTGATGTTACAGGAAATATCAATTTGTTAATGTCAAGCATCTAAGCCAAGTTGCAAATGAGTATTATTATCACCACTAACCGATTCAAAGTTTTAAGCCACCGCCGCCGGTAATTGATTAATTACTAATTTGAATATTCAAATAGTTAATGTTAAGCATTTAAGACAATTCGCTCTCTATTCATTGCACTTGTTTCCGCTTTCTCTCTCAGCAATGTCTGTGCTCTTCTTGCATTCTCGTGCGCTTTCATTTCTCTTTTCAATCACAAAAAGCTTCTTCCTTTCGGCTTTCATTTCAATTCTTGTTCGCTTTGTTATCCTTCAATCGTCTTTGTTACCGTTTTTCTCTTTAAAAAAAGGACAAAAACAATACAATTTGTGTGATTTACTTTGGGTTTTCATATCTAGTCACTCTAGAATTTGTTGTTCGTTCTTTAAAAAAAAAAAAAAATCACTATCCAGCTTACCCCTCCAATCATATATATTAAACTTTTTGGCTATCTATTTGAACAGTTTGTCTGCTCTCGATTTCTTCGTGTTTGGATCCTTCTTTTAATTTTCTTTTGTTAAGTTCTGTGAATTTCTCTCCAAAAAAGGAAAAAAAAAAACCACAGAGAGAGAGAGAGAGAGAGAGAGAGAGAGAGAGATCCATATTGGAGACGCCTCTTCAACCATCGAAGTTTGTTTAGTGTGCTGTTCTTAGTCTTGTTTGATTAAAAAAGGAAAAAGAAAATCAAGGAGGAGGCTTTCCCATCTGCGTGAGAGGCAAGCATATATTTATTTTGCTTTGTGCAGTTCTATTGTTCTTATATCAAGTATCCGTATCCGATCAATACACGATACACATACAATACTAATTCATCTTTTATATATATATATATATATATATATATATCAATCATATATTTTAACTTTTATATTATAAAAAAGGGGGCAAAAATATCTAATAAGTCATCCGCTAGGAGTATCCAAAAATATACGAATATTTATGAAATTATTTTTTCAGTGTATTTATGACTAGACTGTTGCTACAGTATAATGGTTAACGTCTTTGAATTTTTACGATCTAGTTATAGATGTATTAAAAAAATAATTTTATGAGCATTCATATACTTTTTTTTCATTTTAGGTTATTGATGCTTCTAGCCGACAATTTTTTAGATATTTTTATCTCTTTATCCTTTAATTGTATTATAATTTTTTAGATATTCTGCATTTTCAATTTATAAAAATAATTAATTTAAATTTAGACTGCATAAATTAAATATAAATTATTTAGATTAGTGATAAATAAATTTATTAAAAATTTTACAAATGTTATTTTTATTAATATAAAATAAAAATAAAAATGAGAAAAATTTAAATTTCAACTATCCAAGTTAAATGGATGGCCCAGAATAATGATAAGCTTTGAATGCTATCCTTGATCCCAACGTGATTTAATGGTTTGTGAATTGGATGGTCATGGTTACGGCACAGCGGATGATGGGAATTCAATTTTAAAAAAGAAGTTGATGTGTCGTCTTCTTCTAAAGACTTACATAAATTAGGTGGATGAAACTTGCTTTCAAAGCTTGGTCCTGTTAAGTTTGGTTTTTCAATTTTTAATTTGACCAAAATATCTCTCTTTAATATAAAAATTATCTAAAAATTTATATTTGGCAAAAAAAATTTGCATGCAACTAAGAAAAAATAATAAATACATTTTCAAACTTTTATCATATTATAGAATTTATTAATTTTTTATTATATTATAAAATTATACTCCCTTTGTCTCAAATTATAAAGCACTTTTGAAGGAGTTTCTCTATCCCAAAATATAAGACACTTTGAATGGATTAAGACTTGATTAAATACATTAATTCTAATGTTACCCTTTCTTTTTCTATAATTAATTTCCATCTCTTTTCTTTTTAATATATTAAATAATGGTTATTTTTAAAAGTTTATATTTTTGTTTTAGAAAGATAAGATTGTTAAGTATATTTAATAAATTTTATTACTATGTAAAATTTTATATAAAAGTTTTTTATAATTTCGAACAGAGGGAATATAATTTTTAATTTTTATCAAATTTGTTGAAATTTATTTATTTATGTTTTTTAAAATTGTTAAAAAAACATATTTCAAACATATATTTTTGTTCGTTACATAATAAAATGATATAAGTTTGAGCGATTATATAAATAATTTAATAAAACACACTAGATCGAGCAGTAATAATTTTGTATTCGATCAAAATCTTGGCTAATTGATTATATTATTCAGTAATTGATTCCATTTGGAGTGGTTGAATGTTAGCCAATAGCTCTGACCGAAAAGAGGCGTGGAAGGGTAAAGTAGTAAATAAAATTTGTTTTAATATAAATTTTAATTTAAAAGAATTTTTAGAATCTTTTTAAAATATTCCTAACAGGGTTAATGGGTTAGACTAAATTATATGCTTTCAAAATAGAGAAGAGGTATATGTAATTAAGATAAAACAAAAAGGTGGTCAGAATATTTTACTTTAAATTTTATAATCCCACTTGTCTTTTTCCTTTAAAAAAAAAATTGAACAATCAAAATTTTCTACCCTGCCCCTCAAATGAAAAAGAGGGTTAATATTATATATGTGTGTATTTCTCCTTTCTGTTCTTTTTCTCTTACATGTTAAATATGTGCGTGTGGTTGACTTTTTATCCAAAAAAAAAAAAAACAGTGAGTTAATATTGAATAAAAATAAATGAAACACAAATTATGAAAAAAGGTAGTAGGTTTTTTCAAGGGTTAATAAACATTCTGGGTCCTAAAGCATTGTGCAAAAAGCACCATGAACCCTACACTTTTAAAATGTGCAAAATGAATACCAAACTTCTAAATTCTTAGCAAATTATCTCCACCATTAACTTATACTTAATACCGTTACTATTTACTTAGTGGGGCCCAATCAAAATGATGATATGGCAGCCCTTTACTGATGTGTCATTTGATAATGAGCACCATAGACCCTAAACTATTTCACGAGTAGCATCCTAGACTCTAAACTTTGAAATTCAAAGTAAGTTATTCTCACCGTTTATGTGTAGGATGTTCATTGTTATGTAGACTAAATTAACCTCAGCGTGGTCCGTCACGGTGAATGCATCGTTGGCTGCAGCAAACGACCTATAATTTTTGTGAAATGACATTTTTTTTGCCTCCCTTTTCTTGCAATGTTTTCCAAATGATTAGTATCTCATACTTTCATATACCCTATAACTCTAATTTAGTCTTATTTTGAATAATATTTATGTATTTAATGGTGAAAACTTGAGATCCCATTTGAAAAGAAGTTTAAGTGTTAGAGGATTTTATAGATGATGGATGCGAAAGTTGATAATTTCATTAACAAATTTCAAACCCAAATTAACCTATTAATTAAAATCATTTGATATTTAAATTTCTTTTCAAATGAGATCCCAAATTTTTATCATTACATAAATAAATATTATTCAAAATAATATTAAATTAGAGTTATAGAGGATACAGAAGCATGAGATATCAATTGTTTGGAAAATATTGCAAAAAAAAGGGCAAAAAATGTTATTTCATAAAATTTTTGGTAGTTTGCCATGACCAACGATGTGTTTGCTGTGGTGACCACACTGAAATTAATTTAGTTTACATAACAATCAACGTTCTACACATAAACGGTGGGGGTAATTTGCTCTGAATTTCAAAGTTCAGGGTCTATAATGCTGATTGTCAAATGACACATTAGTAAGGGACTGCCACATCAGCACTTTGACTGAGTCCCACTAAGTGAATAGTAACAGCATTAAGTATAAGTTAACAGTGGTGTAATTTGCTATAAATTTAAAAGTTTAGGGTCTATTTTGCACATTTTAAGAGTTAAGAGTTCAAGATACTTTTCGCACAATACTTCAAGGTCGAGAATGCTCATTAATCCTTTTTCCAACTCAATGATTTTTTAATTTTTATTTATAAAGAATAATATATTTTAAATAATAATTTAGTCCTTGTATTTTTAACATGTGAAATGTAATCCATTTCACAATAAAAAAATTGTTGTTTTAACTTTTAGGATGAAAAAGAGTAACAAATTGTAATAAATAATACATTGCTATTAAAATAACTTTCAAGGCTCATAAGATAATAACTTTTAAAATAGAATAGTTAAATTTTTAATACACATGATGTCACAAATTGTTATATGAATTTTAATTTGCATTGAGTGAAATGTTTTAAAATAAAATAAATTTTATTTATAATTATAATAAAAACACGGATAAAAAATTTAAAATAAAAAATGTTTATAATTTTTTATATTTGTGCAGTAACAAATTCTAAACTAGAACACATTTAAATTTTAATTTATGTGCAAATAACATATTTTGAAATAGAAAATTAATTTTAATATACATGGAAAATACATTTAAAAATAATTTTTATGGAAATAAAACAAATTGTTGGGAATAAAACAAACTGTTATTTATGTTTGGAATATAAATGCTGAGCAACAAAATTCTACCATTAAACAAATTATTTTTTACTTTTATATTCTAAACACTAAAAACATGCCCAAAAAATAAAAAAAATGTTGTCATTTATGTTTTGATTGTTATAGTTATCTATTCTCATGAGATAAAAATTTTTATTTATACTTTTATTGTTATAATTATTTATTTGTAATTACTAATACAATTTTATTTTGTATAAAATTATCAAGTTAGTATTTTTAATGTTTAACTTCTATTGCTACAACATTTTTTGTTTAGGCAACAGTTTTGGTTGCAACAGTTTTAAAAGTATTGCCCAATGTAGATATAAGCAACATTTTTTGTATGTTATTATTGATGTTTACTTTAAGCAATAAATATTTGGCAACGTTTAAAATTTATTTCCTAAAGTAGAATAGGCAATAATTTGCAAGTGTTCTAATAAAATTTTTAAATAGACAACATAAAAGACTATTGTCTATAATGGCATTTTTTTTCACAACATTTTAAAATTGTTTCCTATTCTAATAGGCAACACAAAAAAAAAAAAGAATGTTGCCTATAAATATTCCTTTTGGCAATATTTAAAAATTGTTGCCTATTGTTTTTCTATTAATAAAAAATTATTTATATTTTTTTTGATAACTTATCTATGTTATTTTATTTGTTTATTTATTTTATTTTCTGAATTTATTATTTATTAATTAGAAAATTTTAAAATTTAATATAACAATTATATATATATATATATATATATAATGTTTTGCATTATAATAATTAAAAGTCATGTTGGAAGAGTGGCTAGAGTCATCTCATCACTTCAAGTGGATTAGGGTTTGAATTCAAAGTGAAGAAGAAAATATCAAATTTTGGCTATTTAATATTTTTACAACAAGTCTTAAGTGTTGCTGATACTTATATAATAGGCAACGGTTCAAAAATCATTGTTTATTTCAACACCCTAAAACCATTGCTTGTAGTAAGCTGTTGCCTATATGTCTTACTCCAGGCAATGGTTTTATGATTTGTGGCCTAAAATATGAAAAACCATTGCTTTAGACTACAGGTAACAAGGGCAAGGTCCATGCCTAAAAACCATTGTCTATGCCTATAGGCAATGGTTTTTCACCCTGTGGCAACCGTTTTTGACCGTTGCCACGAGACAAAAATGTTGTATTGTATATGGAGGGAATGAGATATTTTAATGAATTTGATTTTAAAAAATTGAGAAGCATGTCTTGTTTTGAGAATGTCACTGCAAACTAGATTGATCATTAAATTGGTTAAGGCATTAGTTTAAAAATTAATCATAAACAAAGCATTTCATTGAATTAGTCAAGGTACTGATTCAATAGTTTATTGACTCAACCAACTGAGTTTACTCAAATTTCAATATTATGAATTTTATTGAACTGGTCAAGCTACTTACAAAATCATAATAGGTTTACCTAGGTATCACGATGATCTAGCTATTGTTGTAATTGTAGTCTCACATGCATGATAGATGGCAGAGGTTGGTGCCACCAGAGCTGCAGCAGCAAGATGTACTGAAATATTGATAGATATAGTAATGAAGGAACTTCCATATTTGTGTTGTTACAAGAGTTATGCTATTAACTTTGAACGGAAAAAAGAAGAATTGTCGGCTGCAGTGGAGAGCTTGGGCATAAAGCTAGAAGAAGCTAAAACAAGAAACGAGACTCAAATTGACCCTATAATTAAGCAATGGGTTCAAAGAGCTGAAAGCCTTATTGGAAAAAAAACAAGACCAAAGAAATGGTTTGGTTTATGTACGAACTATTTTTCGCAACATTCGCAGGCCAAGGAATTGGAAAGAATGACGCAAGAGATTCCAATGATGATGGAGAAAGCTGAGAACTTCTCTCAAGTGGCACATTCAGTTGGGCATCCAGGCATGCAATTTTATTCACAAGAGTTGTTTATACATTTTGAGAGTAGAAAGTCAATATTTAGACAACTTAAGGAGGAACTGGAAGATGACAGTAAGTATAGGATTGGGTTGCAAGCAATGGGAGGTTCAGGAAAAACCACCATGGCAAAAGCAGTTGGGAAAGAACTTGAAACTTCAAAGGCATTTAATAAAGTTATCTTCATTAAAGTTCCCAACCCTCTTGATAAGAAAAAGATACAAGATGAAATTGCAAAGAAGTTGGGTTTGCAGTTAGAGGATGAAAAGAGTTTAACACATGCTGAACAAATATGGAACAGAATTGATAATGCTGGAAATATACTTATAATACTTGATGATGTCTGGAAAGAGCTCAACCTTGAGAACATCGGGATTCACCATGGCATCCATAGCAAAGGCCGCTGTTGTATTTTGCTAACCACACGTTATGAGATGGTTTGTACGAGCATGAGATGCCAACATATGATTCAACTGAAGGTCTTACCTGAGGAAGATGCTCTGGATCTTTTCCTATTTCACGCTAGTGAAAATGGGAATGATTGTCCTAATAGAATGAAGGTGGTGGCATCAAAAATTGTGAACGAGTGTGGAAGGTTACCAGTTATAGTTGTAGCAGTAGCAAAAACTATAAGAAACTGGTATTCAAATGAATGGGAGGTTGCTTTTGCAGCAATGGAAAAAGATGCACGCTTTAGACATGAGATTGCTGATGAAGAAGCAAAAAAGTTTTATAATTCTCTGAGAATAAGCTTCAAGTGTCTAGATAAAAGAGTCCAAGATTTCTTCCTGCTGTGTTCTATATTTCCAAGAGCTTATGAAATACCAGTAGAGCTTTTAAGTAGAATTGCTATAGGTTTGGGGCTTTGTGGAGATGTTGACAACTTCTGTACAGCAAGAAGTCAATTTCTTCCTATTAAAAACACGCTTGTAAGTTCTGCTTTGCTGTTGACTGCTGGAGAAGGATGTGTAAAGATGCATGATGTCATTCGCGATGTAGCCCAACATATAGCAAATGAAAAGATTCAAGTGATCGCTAATTCAGAGACAAAATTAAAGGAGAATACTAAATATTCATGCTGGATCACAAATGACTTTTCCAATCATTTTGAGGGTAGCAGTCTTGAGGCTCTTCTAGTATGGGTAAATGCAAATGGTTCTTTGAATGTTCCAAATGAATTCTTTGGAGGTATCAAGCATCTTAGAGTTTTGCTTTTGTATTCTAAGATTGAGTTTGAGAGAACTTTAGCTCTGTCACTGCCAAAATCAATTGAATCACTAGAAAATATCCAAACACTGTCCCTCACAAATTGGAATTTAGGTGATATATCTATTTGGAGAAATCTAAAAAAACTCCGAACTCTTGAACTGACTAACTGTTCAATTATTGAATTGCCTAATGATATTAGCCAACTGGAGAAATTAAGACTGTTAGCCTTGGTATGTTGTTCAATCAAAAAGATGAATCCATTTGAAGTGGTTGGAAGATGCTCAAAACTAGAAGAATTGTATTATGTTTCAAATGACGACACTCTTAACATTAATGCAAAGCCTTCTAAAATTTCGGTTCTTCAAGAATTTGGAACGTACTATATAGAGGGCCGCTCCTCTATGCGTTCTTTTCAATTGGATGCTTCAACGAAAAGGTATTTCAATTCAACCAAGTTAAGAGGGATCTTGTCTGAAAACACAGTTAAATCCCTAGCAGCAAGAGCAGAGATTCTCGAGCTAACAGAATGTAATGAAATAAAATGGACAAATCTGATTCCTGATATGGTACAGATAGAAGATGGAGGTATGAATGACTTAATTAGGCTTTGTTTGAGATCTTGGCCTGCAATACAATGCCTAATCTGTACAAATGGCATTCAATCTGATGCAACTATCTTCTCCAATTTAGTCGAGCTTCAACTTCATGATATGCATGTGAGGGAATTATGTCGTGGGGATTATCCTAATGGCTTTCTCATGCAACTAGAGAAGCTAGACTTAAGTCATTGTGTTGAACTAGATGACACATTATTCAAGGGTAAGCTAGAGCTGAGTAATCTCAAGTCCATACAAATAGTGGATTGTTCAATGACATGCCTTTTCCATCCATCCGCAGCTCAGAGTCTAAACCAATTAGAAAATTTGTACATAAAAAGATGTTCGATGCTGGAACAAATAATAAGTGATGATGAGAGATTAGAAGAGAAGAAAGTGAATGATCATCATGTTCTTAATCAAAAGATTCATGACACAGTGCTCCCAAAGTTGAAGTTTCTCAAGGTTCAAGATTGTCCGGAAGTAGAATTTATCTTGCCAATTTGTTCTTGTAAATTGCTGGAAAGTGTGAAAATCAATGGGTGTGATAAGCTGAGATACATATTTGAGCAAGGTCTAAAGGAGGGAGGTTTGTATCAAATGGGAAATGAAATCATAATCCCTTTACTAATAGAAATAGAAATTGTGAACGTACCAAAATTAATCAACATATATCCAGAATATCATCTCTCGAAGCCTTCCCAATTGCAAAAATCATGGAGTCCTCTCTGCTGCTTGTCAAAATCAAGTGCCTCAAGTAAAGATGACCCATCTTTTTCCAAGGCCACACGACTGGACCATACTCAGGTACCTATTCTCGCTCTTTTCTGTTGGTACATAATTATGCATTAGGAATTAATATAATAACATATTGACACATTTCTTTCAATTTATGAAAAAAGAATTTATATGTTCGAACATGATACAGGCACTAAAGGAGAAATATCTTCTCAACAAAGCCCATGGGCTTTTTACATCACTGTTGTACCCATACAAAAATTTGAGAATGATGAGGTTAGAAGGATTTCCTGAGTTAAGATCATTGTTTACCCTATCCGTTGCCTCATCCTTGAAATTGTTGAAAAAATTGGAAGTTAAGGAGTGCGATGCGCTGGAGCATATAGTAATAGATGAGAGGCATTATGGTCATGATCACACAACTGTCAACTCTATCTTCCCGAAGTTACAACAAGTTCATGTTTGGCGTTGTAGCCATTTGGAATCTATATTTCCAGCTTTTTATTCAAATGACTTTATGGATTTGGAATATGTGAATATCAGGATGGTTGAAAAGCTGAAACATGTATTTGGAAAATGTCATATTGATCAAAAACGTAATGACCGGATTGAACTTAATCTCCCAGCTCTGAAACAACTGTACCTTGTTGATGTACCAAATATGGTTAGTATTTGTGCTGAAAACTATCATGTGAAGGCATTATCTCTGCAAGTTATTAGTTTGGAAAAATGTCTGCAACTTCATTCAAAAACTGTTGGAGATTTATTGGCTGACGTGCAAAGAAAGAAACAAGATTTTCCAAAGGGAAAGTTAAGGCTCTTTTCAACTTCATTTCTAGCAGAATTCTCATGTCAACAAGGGGAAAATAAATTCACTTTTTTATATGTAATCCAGGCATCAAAGGCAAAGTCTGTTCCCGGCAATACAATACATGGACATTTTAGTCCACCATTATCTCAATGCAATTTGATAGAGATTAAGATAATTGGATTTTCCAAGTTAACATCACTCTTTACCCTTTCCGTTGCTTCATCACTAAAATTGTTGGAAATATTGGAGGTCCACAAGTGTGATGCACTAGAGCACATAGTAACAGATGAGGGGCATTATGGTAGTGATCATCTAAATGTCAGCTCTATCTTTCCCAACTTAAGGCAGGTTTATGTTTGGGAATGTAGCCACTTGGAGTATATATTTCCAGATTTTTATTCAAGAGACTTGACTGATTTGGAAGCTATTAACATCCGGAGTGTTGAAAAGATGAAATATGTGTTTGGAAAATGTCATGCGGATCAGAATCATAATGTTCAAATTGAACTCAATTTCCCAGCTATAAAAACTTTATACCTTTATGGTTTACCAAGTGTGGTTGGCATTTGCGTTGAAAACTATCATGTAAAGGCACTACACGTAGAAGATATTAGTTTGAAACATTGTCCACAACTTCCCATAAAATTTTTTATAGATTTCCTGGTTGGCGAGCATAAAAGACAAGATCTCTCAAGGAGAAAGGTAAACCTTTTTATTTTGAACTTATTTTTCCAGTTTATGATTGATCACCTAAAAAGATTCTTTCATCCTAACATGTCTTCATGACACTTTCAAGGAGAAAGGAAAGGCTCTTTCCAACTTGCAAGAGTTGCCTGAGTCAGGAGACGTATGTGTGGGACCTACAAACTATCTGAGCTTTTGGAATCTTTCCACGTTGATAATTAAAGGATGCAAGCAATTGAAATTTATATTGTCTGCATCTACCTCGAGATGCCTACCAAGGTTGAGAATGCTAGTGGTATCATTATGTGAAGAGTTAGTGAGCATCATTGAGGATGAAGATAATGAGCAGAATGCTATGGGTCTGCATCAAGTATGTTTCCCAGAGCTCAGTGTACTTCAAGTGAAGCATTGCAAGAGTTTGAAATGCCTATTCTCTATCTCCACATATGGTAAGCTTCCACGACTCTCGTTTTTGAGTATAGAAGATGCCCCAGAGCTTGTGCAAGTATTTAGATGGAACGAAGGTATGCCACCAGACTTGGCCATGAAGGATGTTCTCCCAAATCTATTTTCAATGCAACTGGTAAATCTACCAACTCTTCATGCTCAAGGAATTGGCTTCCCAATTGTGAAAAATTGTCTTGTGCATGATTGTAACAATATCCCTTCAGCTAATGCTAGTTCTTCTGAATGTAAGTACTCACATATACATAATTAATCACCATTGCTAATTTCTCTATGGTTTGTTCTCATGATAATGAGTTTGTTTTACTTGGCCATGATTTGCAAATGACGACTATGCAGCATGTATTTCGAGTCATGCTTTTGAGGTTAGTACCAAATTTCAATTAGATGAAAGATTGAAAACAACATGGAGACAGAAATTAACAAATTTTATGGTCTAAAATTTCTATATTTAATAATGACTTCAACTCATTACTTTCTTTATATCTTCTGTTATTGTCCAGAGGCATGAAGAAGAATCAAAGGAAGCCCTTGAGAAAGACAGGACAATGCTAGAACAGAACAGTTCGCCAAATCTTGTAAAGGTATTCAAATTGTACGTTTCAATGATCAAGAAGACTTTAGGAAACCAACAAATTTATTTCTCTCTTCGTTAGTTCCAAATTTCAGGAGAATATCAATAAATTCAGAATTTTTTTTCTTTCCATATTGTGGGCTAAGATTTTTGAAGTTTATTAGTGACGGCTTCAACTCATTTTATCTCCTTATGCATCTTTTGCAATTGTCTAGATTGAAGAGGTATCGAAAGAGGGTTTTGAAAAAGACTCCACAGATAGTTCATTAAATTTGACAGAGGTACAAATATTATGCCTTTTAGCAATGCATTCATATTTTATAAGGTACAAATATTTAACAGAACAATATCACATAGCAACGCATTCACATTAACCTATTCATATGTATGACATGCTTTCTCATGAATTGAAATTCTTTAGCAACTCATTCATATTTTATACAGCGCAACAGCAAATGAAAATGTTGAGGAGCAATTTTCTATTTCTTGTACAGCAGTGATAATTGCATCACCTGATTTAAATATCACGAGGGTCATTCCTCAACAAATACTCATTGAGTATTTTTCAATTTGGTAGCAATGTGAAAGTGAAATGCCTTAATAGTAATAATTTTCTTCATTTCATTAGAGTCTATAGAAGCCTTTGATGCTCCTACAGCCGGGAATCAAAGTTGATTCTGACAATCAACTAATTATTTCTTGATTTGTGGTTTATTATTATTCCACAGATTGAAGAAACAGTGGGGGCAAGTGTTCTAAAAAGTCAAAAATCAGAGGAAGTTGTATTGGCAGATGAAGCCAAGGATTTAGAGCTAAGCAACGTACATTCACCATTTTCTAGTACGTTACAAAGTGAATCTCCACAGGTAAGATTATCTCCTTTTTTTTATATAAATTAAATGACTTAAATTTAGGCAGCCTTTTGGATATTCATGTTCATGAAGGACAAGTTTGCCAGGAAAAAAGCTGACAATGAAACAATCAAGATTGATCATCAAGCACCAATTGAAAGGGGATCTTATTTCCATTAAGATTAATATCTTTATTAATAACCTCAAATATTCATTTTTTTTGGGTGAACACCTCTTTTACTTCTTTATATATTTTATTATTGTTAAGACTAGAAAAGAAGCATCACAAGAGAATTTTGAAAAAGACTTGACAATGCCAAATACAGAACAATGCTTTACCAAATTATGACAATTTACACATATTATACTTATTTATAATCAATAAGAACTAAATATAAGTCTGAATGAACCAAATAAGCAGAACCAAGGTGAGCTTGCTGCATTCATTTTAGTTTTAAACAGATGTCTTGTTTATTCATTCATTTGCTTAGGAATTACGTGGAAAGGAATCAGTGGCTGGTCAGCAAGCACTTGGAGAAAGTAGAAGCTCTAATGAAGCTTCTCAAAGAGTTGAAGAACCTGCCAATCAATGTTCTTCTAAAGAAATATCACTCAAAATGGCATTGGCAATTCCACCATCTATTATTGGAATGACCTCTCCACAGGTAAATATTTAGTTTTTAATATATTTGCTCCATCGATATTTTATTGATTTTGATTCAAAATAATTTTTCCATTTTTATGGTCTTATATCTCTCCACTTTCTTCTCCCAAGAAGCCTCAAATAGCAACTTCAGCGACTCAAGTGGACTTAGGGTGCTCAAAGTCGGACTTGTTACATATTTCTGCTATTAGTGATCAATCTGTGCAAGTAAGACTTCATTTTATTGCTTTAGCTTTTGGATGCAAGTGTTTTTTGTTTGAAACTGGTAAATAATAATGTTATAATAGAAAATTTGATTATCAAGAGGTACTTTTTTTTCTCTAAATAAAGCAACTAGTGAATCAATCAGAGACCTCCACTAGCGAAGAAATTAGGTTGGATCAAGGAAACCCTCAGTAATTTGCAGAAGATGATCTGATAAGATTATTCCAAATACTGGAGGAAGGTCACATGCCTTATGTATCTAACATTTATGTCCCTGAAGATGCAAGTGAGGTGACTAAAGCTCTTTCTGACTTGGTAGCCACATTGAAGATAAGTCTGAATGAAACAGCTAGCTCTGAAGAAAGTAGACTTTGCCTTGAGAATGCTCTCAACATCTTGTCCTCCCATTGTTCTGAAGAAGGACCTCCCTCTCATGGCCTTCAAGCTACAATTCACTCTCTCCAACAAGAAACCCAATCTGTTCTATCTTCCTTCAACCAAGCCTATGCCACCATTGACACATTCAACGTGCTTCAACAAAAGGAGAAGCCTATCAATGAATTGCAGGATTTGGAATATGTAAAATTAAAGGAGAAGATCTCTAACTTGAAGGATGAACTGTATAACAAGGTAAAGGAAATAGAAGAGTGTGAGATCAAACTGTCATCTCTTAAAGGACAAAAGAAGAAGAGTGTTTCTGACACAGTGGGATTCATAAAGGAGTTTGAAGCAGTGACGAAAGGGAGGTCTCACATGGTGGAAGACCATATGAAAGCAAAGCAACAACTGCAAAATATGGATGTTAAGTGGTCTTCATGTCTATCCAATTTGAAGAAGACTGCGCTGTTGCTAGGAGTTCATCTTAAGCAAAAGCTTTGACTATTGGAGACTGCTATTTAAATTTCGTAAAAGCAACATCTTAAAAGAAATCTAGAGTGTAGTCATGTTTATTAGTTGGGTTGTTACCTATATGTGTTTTGGGTTTTTGCGTATTATCATTGTGGTGATTTTTACTATGTTGATAGTTGGTAGTGCTGGAGTGTTATGGTCCAAAAAAGGAAGGGAAAAAAAAAAGGGTAGGGTGTGTGGTCAACAACAGTTTAATACTCATTGTTGTACATTTTTATTTTGATGGTAGTGAATTCTTCCTGGACTGGGTCCCGTGGTTTTTATCTCTCATATCGAGGGAGTTAAGAATGAGACAATCATGATTTATAAACAAGCATTACTATGAAAAAGACTTTTATTTTCATGTTCTATGATTATGATGTTCATTAACGACTTCACTCCTTTTACTTTGTTTTTTTTTTTTTAATAACTCTTACTTCTTTATATCTTCTATTTTTCTTCAGATTGAAGAAGAAGGATCTGAAAATATTATCAGAGAAGACTCAGCAAGGCTAGAACATGCAAATGCTTCACCAAATTTGGAAAACGTACTTACATCATACTTTTCTATATCTAGCAAACTTAAGAGACCAACTAATGGTAAAGGAGAATTATAATTCAAACTCATTTTATTTTCTTTTTATATTTTTTGCTGTTGTTTAGAGTGAAGAAGCATCAAAGAGGATTGCTGAAAAGACTCCACTGCGCACAAACAGAGCAGTAATTTGCCAAATATGACAAAGGTCCGTGCATTGTGCTTTTTTCTTAATATAATAACACAGACTCAAACCAATAAGTAATTTCATCTTGATTAATCAATAAGTGGCTGTTTAGTAACTTAAACATATTTTATGGTTGTGCAGAATATGAATGCAACAACAAATGAAATTGTTGAAGAACAACTTTCTAGTTCACATACAGCGGCAACTTCCTCGTCTAATTTAGATATGGTAAGAGTCATTTCTCAACAAATACTTTCATTAGAACTTATTGAGCTTTTTCCAATTCTTAATAGTAATGACTTTTTTTTATATATAAGAGTTGGTAGGATCCTTCGATGCACCACTTGCTTATACATTACAAGTTTAGCTATTAATGAATATTGCTTCTGAATACATGGCACTAACTGCAAATTGATTTACTATTCTGTACTATGAAATAGATTGTTCATGAAAGCTTAGAGCTAAGTGTTCAAGAAGGTTCTAAATTAGATGGAGCTATCAAAGAAAATCAAATCATGAATTCAAAATCAGGCAATGCATCACCAACATCATCTATAACTCCTCGGGAAAATAAATCTCCACATATAAGAATATAGTCCTTCCTGATAGTGTCACAGAAATATCAAACTTACATGTCATTTGGTGTTATGCAGGAAGTTGAAGCTGTGAGAGAAGGCCTTTCATCTGAGAAACATGACACAGTGAGTTCATCGACTCCTTATGAACTAAAAATCTCAACTCCATGCTCATTAACTTCTACGTACTTGAAGCTAACATCAAACTAATCTATTTCTTGGTGGTTCCTTCTGTCATAGAACAAGGAGAAAGTAGAGGCAAGTGTTCAAGAAAGTCCAAAATTAGAAGAAGCTGTAATGTCAAATGAAGTCCAGGATTCAAAACTCAAAACCATACCTGCACCATTTGCTAGTCATTTACAAGTTGAATCAGCACAAGTAAGATTATCACCTTTTATTTTCATATACAAATTGATGCGGTGATCTTTGAATATTCATGCTCATATGGGGGATGAGTTTGTTAATTGTGAGCAAAGATTTATAAAGTTTGTTAGGTTGTGTTTGGATAGGTGGATTTAAATTGGGAATTTGGATTTAAAATCTCATATTTGAAATTCATAAATTTTAAATTCTTTGTTTGGATGATGTAAAAAATTTTAAATTATAATATTAAAATCCTTTGTTTGAATCCAAAGTAAAATTCTGAACTTTAAATTATATATTTGAATTTAAAAGAAACTTAGACGACATTGGCACTTAGTTCCTAGTCAAAGTCGACTGTTTGAATGGCCAACTTCCATTGGGACTAGACTGTTATGCCAACTGGGACCGGACAGCTGACTTCTACTGGGACCAGACTGACAATGACGATTGGGACGAGATGGGCGACTTCCATCGAGATTGGACTGATGGCGACGACCAGGACAAGACCGATGGCAATAATCGAGATCGGATAGCCGACTTCTATCGGGATAGGACTAACGGCAAGGACTAGGACCTTACGGCCAACTTCCACAGAGAGGTTGCTGGGATAGGATTGCTGTTGCCGACCAACATTGTGCCTGCAACTAGGATCAAATAACCGGCTCGTGCCGTGACTGGGTCAACGACTTTTGCTGAGATCAGACTAGCAACTTTGCCTAAGATTGGATTGCTAACGATCTGGCCACAGTCAACGCCAACTGTCCAATCCTATTCAGCACAAATCGCCCGGTCCCAATGGAAGTCAATCGTCCTGTTCTGGTCATCGTGATCAATTCGGTCTCGGTGGATGTCAATCATCTTGTCTCAGCCGTCATCATCGGTCTAGTCCAGGTGGAAGTTGTTCATCCGGTCCCCATTATCACCTTCAGTCTAGTCCCGATGGAAGTCAGTCGTCTCGTCCCAATCATCACTGTCGGTCGGGTTCCGGTGGATGCCGATCGTCGGTCTAGTCTCGGTGGATGTCGGTGGTCCAGTCCCAATCAATTGTACTCTGATCCCTACTAGCACAGGCAGTTCGATCCCAATGGTAGTCAGCTATCTAGTCTCAATTAGAGCTAACGGTCCAGTCTCAGTCAATAGTGGTGGCATGGTTCTGTAGCTTCTACGGTCCGGTCTAATTACAATTACCTAGCCAATCAGGCCTTCGTGGATTTGGGTCAAACTATAAAAGAGATTGAGTTAGGATTTGAAATAATAGGGGTTTAGAAAGGATTTCAAATTACAAAGAGATTGATGTAGAAATTGGATCTAAATCTATACATTTTTAATTTCCCAAACAATGGATTTGGCTCAAATCCAAATCCAAATCTAAATCCATATATATCCAAACATAGCATTAGTGAATTCAACTCATTTTATTTCTCTTGAGATTGTTTGCAATAATCTAAAGAGGGTCTTGAAATTCTTTAGAAACGCATTCATATTTTATACAGAATCAATAATTCCATCATCTGATCATTTGGACATTATGAGGGTCTTTCCTTAGCAAATGCTTTCAGTTGCATGTCCATTGAGCATTTTTCAATAAAGCAGCAATGTGGGAGTGAAAATGGCTTAATAGTAATGGTTAATTATGTTCTTTTTATGAGTTAGTAGGAGTTTCTGATGCTCCATTGGGAATCAGATTTGATGTTGACAGTAAACTAATCATTTCTTAATTTGTGATTTACTGGCATTCCACAAACCAAGGAAACAATGGAGGAGGCAAATGTTCTAAAAGGTTAAAGATCAGGGGAGGCTGTGGTGGCAGATGAAGTCATGGATTCAAATCTTAGCAACATATCCTCGCCATTTCTAGTGCTTCACAAATTGAATCACCACAAGTAAGATTATCACCTTTTTAATATAAATTAAATGACTTAAAATTTAGGCAGATTTTTGACTATTCATGTTCATGAAGGATAAGTTTGCCCGGAAAAAAAAAAAGAGAATGAAACAATCATGATTGATCAGTAAGCACTAGTTGAAAGAGGATTTTATTTCCATTAGAAGATTAATATCTTTGTTAATAACCTCAAATCTTCCTTCTTCTTCTTCTTCTTTTTTTGGTTGAACAACTCTTTTACTTCTTTATATATTTTATTATTGTTAACATGAAAAAGAAGCATCATAAGAGATTGTTGAAAAAGACTTGACAATGCCAAAACAGAACAATGCTTCACCAGATTTGGACAATATTGTACACATATTATGCCTAACTATAATCAAGCCTAAACCAAATAATGATTTCTCTCTTACCTTATTTTCCTATTAAATCAAGAATTTTTAATTTTGTACGCTAAGATTACACATTAAAGAATATAGCTTTTGAAGAGATGGCATTAAAAGTAAATTTCAAACTAATTTACTATGTACCACATATATGCTATGCAATAGATTGCTAAGGAAACAATGGAGCCAAATGTTCGAGAAGGTTCTAAATTAGACGAAGCTAGCAAAGCAGATCAAATCATGGTTTCAGATTTAAGCAACACAGTCCCAACAAAATGTGCTATTCCTTCAAAAAATAAATCTCCACATGTAAGAATTTATATGGGCCTTCTTGATATGAGTCGAGTTTATACTAAATGCTTTGTGATGGTTTTGCTAATTTATGTTTGTTTAGGTTAATTTGGTTCACAAAGTAAGTCCATCAACTAATACACAAATGATCTCTCAATGTGTAGATAACTACTTTTATCACTCCCCTCCATTACTGTTATTACTTTATTGATTTTTGTTTGAGATTAACTTTTCTAGCTTTGTGGTCTTAGGTCCCTTCAATCTCTGCTCATGGCAAGCCTCAAATAGAAATTTCAACTGCTCCCTTAGAACTAGAGTGCTCACATTCAGACCTACCAGATATTTCAGCAATTACTGAATCGGCACAAGTAAGTCCTGGTTTACTGCATTAGTTTTAGGATGTAAAATTTTTCTTCTTTTGAAATTTTATGTACTAATGCTGAAATAAAGTATAGTTTGATGACATTAACTCGTATGAATGTATGAATGTTAAATACATAATACATTTATTTTTAATTTACTTGAGTTAAATATATACGTAATACAAGATATTTCATGTTCGTAATTAATTCTATTGGTGAGAATGATCTTCGTCTATTCTGACTTACTCTAGGATAAGACTTGGACTGATGAAGAAAACAAGTTTGGCAAGAAGTCTGAACAATATGAAGAACATGATCACATGACATTATTCCAAATAACAGAGGAAGGTGCTGATATGGAAGCTCACATGCGTTATGTTGATAAAATCATTGCTGATCTTCAACATCATGATGAGGTGGCTAAGGCCCTTGCTGACTTGGCAGCCTCATTGAAGATGGGTTTAAATGAAATAGCTACCTCAAAAGAAAACAGACTTGGCCTTGAGAAAGCTCTCGCCATCTTGTCCTCATATTGTTCTGATGATGGACCTCCCTCTAATAGCCTTCAAGCTGCAATACACTCTATGCATGAAGAAATCCAAAGTATTGTATCTTCCTTCAGCCAAGCCTACGACACCACGGACACATTCACCAAGCTCGAACAAAGAGAGAAGCTTATGATGGAACAACGCTCACAGCGAAAGGAAGTGGCCACTGCAACTTTATCTGAAATTCATAGGACTGAGAATTTAATGGTTGAGGCTCAACTAAAGGAAGCAGAGCTGAAAGAGCGTATCTCTAAGTTGCAGGCTGAACTAGGTAGCATGAAAAAGGAAATGGAGGAATGCAAGACCAAACTGTTATCTCTTCAACAGCAGGACAGGCAGAGTGCTTCTGATGACATAGGATTCATAATGGAGTATGAGGAAGTGAAGAAAGAGAGGTCAGGCATGGTGGAAGCACAAATGAAAGCAAGGGAACAACTGGAAAATATGGACACCAAGTGGTCTTCATGTTTATCCGATTTTATGAAAACCACACTGCTGTTGGGAATTCATCTTAAGCAGAAACTTTGATTGTTGGAGACTTTTATTCAAATTTCGTGCAAAAAAAAAAAAATCTAGAGTCAAAGTTAGTAGCTGGGTTGTTGTATGTATGTGTTTTGGGTTGAGTATTATTGTTGCGGTGATTTTCACTATGTTGATAGTAAGGGTAGAATTCTCAAAGGAAAAAAAAAAAAGGGTGTGATTAATCATTATTGAACTCATTGTTGTACAAATTGATTTGATGACAGTGAAGTTTTTCTGGACTTGGTCCCGTGGTTTTTATCTCTCACATTGAGGGAGTTTTCCACGTTAAAAAATTGTGTGTTTTCCTGTCTTCTTTATCTATAGTATTTTGGCCTTTTGGTTGCTAAATTGTAACATTTTGAAGAAATTGTGAGTTTGTCACAGCAATCTGTTACAAAGACGATATGGTTGTAGGTGAAAGGGATTCCTGCACAATTTAGATTTATCATCAAATTGTTATTGTCATTTTCAATTTATGATACCTAGACTTAGCATCATGCTTCAAGCAAGCCACTGATACCCTTGCCAGATTAAACAAGCTTGGAGAAAAAGAGAAGTTGATGGATCGATGAGGAACACTCTCAAAGGTTTGATATGCATAAGTGGTCATTTGTACAAGGTGTGTTGCCTGAACATAGAAACAGGGATACTTTGAGCCTGTTTGGTTTTTATTTTCATTTTTTATTTTTAAAAACTGTTTTATAATATAGTTTTTAAAATTATTTTTCAAAACAAAATAAAATAAAATATATTTGATTACATCAATTAAAAAACAGTTTTAAAATTAAAAAATATATTGATAATGATGTTTATAGGTAGTTAAAGGTAATGAATAATAATAAAAATTAATCAAGATAACTATAATTTTTAATAATTAAATGTAGTGTATTTTAAAAATAAAAAATAAAATAAAAATAACTCAAAGTTGTTTCTACGTTTTGTTTTCAAAAACAAAAAATAAAAAAAGTTTTAAAAACAATTAAATAAAAAACACTTATTAAAACAAATTTTAAAATTCTTCTATTTCCAAAAAATAAAGAATAATTTTTAAAAATAGAAAATAAACAGGCTCTTCAGTTCTCACGCATTTGCTCTGTTTCATCATTCTCTTCATCACAAATTCAGTGCCTTCAAGTACAGAGATTAGGATCTATAATGCGTGGATTGAATCCTTTATTTAAGATTCTTTATTTGTACATGATCGATGAAGTTGAGAAAGGCTGGATTAATAAAGATAGGCATGGAGTTTTTGTCGTGTGAGGAAAAGAAGCGAAGAGAAAAAAGAAAGAGCCAAGAAATTATAAAGGAGTCGTTCTTTCTCTTCTTTTCATAGCCCATCTCTCCCATACCAAAGGATAATGATTGATAATCTCTCCCATGCCCATATCTCCGCAGCATTATTTTATTAGGTTCGTTATCTTCTTCGTGTGAGCCCCACCATGATTTTATTTAATTAGAGAAAATAAGGTAAATCAAAATCAATGGCTAAACATTAGACTATTTTATATTTGCCGGCCTGAAAGAAAATCTTTGTTTCAGATGAAACATCCTCCCTCTAAATTGCTAAATTTAGATTTATAGAGCTAAGAGATTAATGATGTTAACTATTTTCTATGTCAACTCTCTAAATTTATAATCTAACCTTTTAGATTTTACAAGTGTCCTTTATGTTTGTAAAGTTGTAAATTTCAAAATTTGTAAATTTTGGTAGAATATTTGTAAATCTAATAGATTGATCCGTAAATATAAGAGATTAAATTATATGTTAAGAGATTGAGATGCTAATAGTAATTCATCATGTTTAAATCAAAATACTTATAACAATTTACAATCTAAACATTATATGAAAACACAAAGAAAGACTTAAATACTACTAAACTTATATATTTAATATATTTTTATTTAATTAAGTTAAGATAAGTAAATTTTAACATATCAATAATATTAATATTAAGAATTTGTTATAAAATAAAAAATATTATAAAAGAAAGATATGCTGTGTCTTTGTTTAATTGACTGTTGGATGAAAGGAGGGGATATCATGTACGGTCTGAATAAACAGTACTCACACGCATGGACCACTCTTCCAAACACATCATTCAATGTCGGAGCTTTCCGCTGAGATGATTGATTGTTCATTGTTGTGAAGAATTGTGAGCAAATACACTCTCTCTGTTCGCCATTCACTACAGCTTCTGCTTCTTCTTAGCAATTTCAGTGTTCAATCCCAGTCATAATGGTTTCTGTTGATCTTCTTCTTCATATTCCCTACTCACTGTTCAACTTCCGGCTCTGGCCTCGCTTCTTCAACACTCTCTCAAATCTATCATGTTCGGATTTGGATCCTTCCTTTCGTGTTTTTTCTTCATTTATTAACAATCCTTGTTGCTGCTGCTGCTATTTTCATTTTGCTGAGCTTCAGTCATTGTATATTTGGTTGTTGTCCTTCTTATATATTCTCGTTCTTCAACGCTTTGTTTGCCCTCCTTCTTGGTACTTGTATTCTTATTGTCTATTTGATCTCTATAGTCCTATTAATCATTGTTGTTTTTGTTTTAAGAAGGGGGGAAAAAAGGCCATCTACGTGCTCTGTTTGTACTTCTAATCTAATTTCTCTTTAGTTCCTATAATTCTTCTTCTTCATTGAAAAGGGTAACAAAAAATATAAATAAATAAATTTCCTCTCAAGGATACCTATCCAGTGATTAGAGTTTTGAGCTAGATCTCTCCATTAATCACTATTGTTCCTACCACTGAACATTTAGATTGACTGAATAAAGGGTCCTCCTAATTTAATCAAGATCTTGAGTTTGAATTTTGAAAATGCAGCAAGTGTTAAGTCTTCCAAGGAAATTGTGATAGAGGCTTTCTTCAAAAATAAACCAACTCTGTCTTGATGTGGATTAGTCTGGTCCCACAAGTTAGTGGGCTGGGAAGCCGGATGCTATATGCAAAAGGAAAAAAAAACACTGTTGTTCTTGTTAGTCTTCTTTTTATTTTAAAAAAGAAAAAAGAAAAGAAAATACAAATTATGTGGTCTACTTTAAGCCCCAGTGTGTGTTGATATTTCTCTCCAGTTACCTTTCAACTTTTGTTGTTCATCTTCTAGTTTTTGTTCCTCCTAAAGAAAAAATCCCTGTCAAAGCTCTTTAAGTGTAAACTGGATAACTCGACTGGTTAGCTAGGTCAACTGGGTCACATATTTTGCCCTTCAAAAACCCTAAAAATTCCTATTTTACCTTTTAAAATTCCTAAAATATTATGTTTTGGGGGGTTTTTTTAAAAAAAAGAAAAAATTGAAAAAACAAAAGGGCAAAGAGGCTTTGCCGGTTTTGTTTTTGAATTATGAAATCAATCAATTGAGCCCCACCCCCACCAGCTCTAAACACTCATCCCTAGCCTTAACTCAAATTGAACCCCACCCATCGATCATCGACTATCATCACTATCGCTCTCCTAGGCTACTGGCTTTCCTAGTTTGATTCTATTTCTCTTGTCGTGTAGCAGAAGTGCAAAACTCACTATGATCATGATGCATAGCTCATGATGCTCTCAACTGTCCTCTCTCTTGTTGTGAAGCAAAACTTGCTGTGAAACAGAACTTGTCATAACATTGCTATCCTCTGTCTCTCTCAATGAATCTCCTTGTTGTCTAGTCATTAGTTTTTTGATTACCATGCCTCTTCCTTCTCTGCATTTTCAATTTAGAATAAGTGGTTTCTATATTATTTGCTGTTGTTAATTTGTATATTATTGCTTAGCATTTTTTATTGTTTTTATCTATTGTTATTTTTTATTATTGTTAGACTGTTAAGTGGTTATATTTTTATAATTATTATTATTATTGTATCGATATCTTGTATTAGAGATTAAACTTGTATTTGATTAAATATTTTTATAATTAATGTTTTTTTATTTAAATTATATTAATTTAATCATGATTGATTTACCACCGATTTAACCCTCGGTTGAATCACTAACCCGTGACTCAATGCCTTAATCGATTCAATGACCGATCTGATTTTAAGTATCTTGGATATATCTATGTTCTGCTCTGCAATACAATTGAGTTATAAATTTAGATTATTACTCTATTTTGAAATTGAGTATTTGACACGCATTTATGAATTTTCTCAATATATTTATTGCTCTTTCACCTCTTTGAATGAGAGATAGCCCTTTTTTCCCCTGAAAGAGATAGCCC